CAAATGTTGTGGTACTGCTTGCTTTGGTTAGGTTCAATGTTGAGCCACAACGTTTGTGGGTTGGCACACAAGAGACTAAGGCATGGGAAGTCATAGACTTGGTGTTAGAGATAGAAACATGATAGACGCGGAGGCGATGGGAGATAGTGGGCTGATAGTTGGTTTTATAAGAGACGTGGTCCTGGTGGCAAAGGCCTGACCATGAAACTTACTCAGAGGCTTGAGCCTCAAATTAGTCACCAAGACGCAGGGGAGGGCGAATAACGCCTCGATTAGCAAAGATGGGGTTACAGGAGTCGAGAGAAATACTTGAACCAGTGAGATAGCAGACGGAGCATACAGGGCAAGAGGGGGATTCTGATAAGACCTATGGAAGGACCGCGTAACAATATGGCAGACTCTGATCAACATTACCAGAATAAGGGTTAGGGGAGTGAGAACGCCAGTGTGGACTGTTCTCATGAAAGCTGCACAAAATGGCACACCACATAACAGTTAAATAAGAGAGAAGGAAAAGAGAAAATTTGTGATAATTAAGACGTGATACCAGTATATAGGATAGGTCAATAGCCCAGGACAGGAGATATACCACAGCTGTTTAGCACACATTTGGTCAGAGGATCAGCTTCACTTGTCTCTTTGACGAGTTGTAGTATGATAAGAATGGCAAGACTCAATGACGATGCCGGCGAAACGCCTGGGAATGTACCACGCCCACGGCCCGACTTTGGAAATTACCATGCATGTTATGGACTCCGGACTAGATGCGTTCTTCTAAGTCTTCCTACCAATATGACCAAGTTGCGAAAACAAGGTCAAACAACTTCCATCAATTAAAAAGATTCTTCAAAAAAAACGCTAAGCCAAACCAGCATCAAACCCAGGTTCACTTTTAAGCACAAGAGCGGCCTCAACAAGGAGAGAAGCCTATTAGAAAATAATTAACCTAAAGAATAAAGGGGCGACTATTTAGAGCTATTCGAAGCCGGAAGGGTGTGGTCAACAAAAAATGACAACAAACCTGCTGCATCACCTCCGGTGCCATCCAACAAGGCGTTCCGACAAAGGTGTACCGGCGCAAGTCGATGCTGCCACCAGTAGCAGCCAACGGTTGGCTGGCCAGAAAACCTGCCACGCCAAAATCAGCTATTTGGATCACACCGTCGTCCTTCACCAGGAGGTTGCCACATTTAAGGTCGCTGCGGGTACCAAAGAGGAGAGAGGAAAGAAAGACAAAAGATGACTAATATAATAGATGTATTTATCTTATTTTGTTTAGGGTGGTAAGAGGACCGGTAGTTTAATGGCTAAGATGGCAGTCGGCAAGAGCGATTTTCCAACTCCGGAAGACCCAATTTTCTGAGTATGATCTTAACGTAATTCTGATTGTCGTAGGACGATGTTAAATATGCACTTTAGATTATTGTGGTGATGATTCAGTTAGCGACAATGAGATGGTGAATTAGCATGGTCAAAATTGAAAGTGCATGTAGGATAGTTGGTTGAGAACAGAGTAAGAAATGCGACAAGCAGAGCTGAAAGCTAAGCTTTATTCTGCCATCTATTAAAGTCAGCTCTAGTAATGAGACTTTACGAAGATAACTCTTTAAAGAACTACAAGGGAAAACGGTCCAGGTGGCAAAAGTGAAGTGAGTATAAAGAAGTTTAAGAAAATGAGTAAGACCATAACAGCTTAAAATCAAGAGGTAAAAGCAAAAAAGCAAAATCTAGAATCCAGGTAGCCTAGGCTTAAAAGAACAATCGAGACTAGGGCTGATAGTAGACTGAATACCTCATCAGATCATGGCCTAATATCTGTACATTGGCTTGTGGCCTAAAAGTTACGCACTCTGCGGTTTCACGGACTGATATACTTTTAAAGGAAATGGGCTACAAATGTTAAGTAGATCAGTACTGACTGAGAAAAAAAGATATATTGAGTAAGCGATTCTTGAAGGGCTGTAAGTCAATAGAATGAAATTATTTATAATATTTATTTATTAGTTGATATTTGGATGACCTCGGGAGATTATAAAACAAGACAATTCGTCAGATGTCTGGTGGAAATAAACAATTTTATGCATTATATGCCGTGATCTGAAAATCACGTGAAATCAAGTGCTTTCGAGGCAATGAGTAAAACAAAAATGTTTATATATTCGATCCGAGCTAGTTTACGAAAACTTATCATGTTTACAGAGAAAACTTGAAAATGAATTCCAGTACTGAGTCTTCTATCGTTATGGCCATGTGTTTTTGCAGCATCGGACTGTAGCCCAGGTATATTGCCAAATGTCTGGCCTGCAACCTAGTCGGTATCGTAAGTGAGCAGAGTCAACAAACAACAAGTGACGCCAATGTCATCTGCCAAGTCTCACCCTCGTCATGTCACCATCCCTATGCTCATATCCTTTTCCATCATTTCTCACTCCCACTCCATCTGACCGGAACTGATCTCCACTCGGATTCCCATTCTCTTCTTAATAGTGTTTACAACATAAATCTATTGCCTCTTCCTTGTACTAGTTGTTTAAGCTGCTAAATCCAGTTAGTTAAACACCCCATTTTATTATATAAATTGGTTAAATGCTCCCACCTGTTTTGTCCACCACATCCATCGTACTGGAAGAATTATTTACATGAATAATAATAGTAAGTATTAAAACTAGTGAGCACATTATTCACATAAATGCATAATGACACTCCGACTAATCAGTCCATGAAAGAACACCTGATTTGACGTTGCTCTCAAATGTACCCCCAAAATTACAGTCTATTAGGTACCAAGCCATTAAATGTATCAGGCACTCCTCGCCCATAGGCTCTCTCTCTCTTTTTGTTTCTCACATAACCAATTGCTCCACAATGTCACCAGTCCATGTGGAAGGAGGAAGAGAATCGGGAACGCCCATCAGGATTTGGATAGATGAGACTGGCAGACTAGTTTTAAATATGACCATCTGCATTGAGGATGACGAATATGTTACAGAGGAAACGTCTGTCAATATGCATTATCAGCTGCCAAAAGCTGGAGGAGAACATGACTACTCTAACAGAGGACGCGGAACAAATCAAATTTTTCGTATTCCTCACAT